TCAACCCGGTGTTTTATATGGGCTTGCTTCAGCCGTACCGGGATCTGGCGCAAGTGAACGCGGAAGCGTTGGCGCCAATGCAGCTCTCAAAGTCGCTAGGCCACCCAGAAGCTGAGCCAGCAATAAGGTCTGAGCACAGGGTGCAGCCACTTCCGTTCCCAGCGCCGCTTGGCGCTTTACCGTCGCATGAAGTGACGTATTCGCCTGCTCGACGGCTAGGAGCCGTTCCGACAGACTATGATATTCCCAAACGCGAGGCAGGCGGTGCGCTAAGTGCTCCAGATTCTTGAGGTCTTCTGCACAGCGGTAGGCGACCTCGGAGAGATGCTAGGCAGAGTGCCGATGACAAAATACTTTGTCCTCCAGCGCTCCAAGAGCACTGCGAGTCACCGGACGGCGACATACCAAGTCGTCACCGTCCAGCGCCGAATCTTCTCGATGAGAATGGCGGCGTTCCCTACTACGTGGAACGCCTTGTGGGTCGATGCCATCAACGGGGTTTAACCCAATATCTTGTGAAGTGGTGGGGATACCATAACTCCGACAACTCGTGGGAGTTTGAGGTGCCACTTCGGCAAGATTGTCCAGATGTCGTGGACGCTTATCATCGGAAGGATCATGACGCTCGCATCGTCCTGCGCACCGCGCTTCTTGGCAGTAGACCGGGTAATCGGAAGGCCATGAGCTGAGCTCAAGCTATGGCCAGGAGCAGCAGTGGTTGTAGACTCACCTGTGTGAGAAACCACAGAGCTCGCGGGAGCGTTATGGTTTGTTCCATATGTCGCGGGGTGACAATACGCAGGAAATCGGCGTTACGCCTAGCGTTAGGCAAACACAAATCTAAGATGGCGCTCAACGCTCACGTCTATTTCCTTGTGGCTTCGCTGTAAGGTAGACAGCGAAGAAAATTTCCGGAACTGCTACACCCATCGCTCAAAGAGCTCATGGTCGTCTGCAGCGGGTCAGCGTCACAGGAATTTCCGCAATTAGGGACAAGATCACCTCCCTTTGGAGATCCAAGTCGAATGCGGTCTCACAAAGCGAGCTCGCAGACTTTCGCTGATCAAGATCAGTTGCCGGAGGCCCGACTACATAGACACCTAGCGATCGAGTGATCGCGTCTTCTGCTTCAGTAGCGGAATCTACCGAGCAGAAGCCGCATTCCACACGAGGGTCTAAGACCGAACGTGGATACGAGCGCAGGAGAGCCGCCCCGTGAGCAGCCTCCGATTGCTACTCCTTCGCCTCGTCGAGGCGATTGGTAATAATTCCACTTCCCTTGGGAGCTGAGAGGTCGGGAACGGGCATGGAGTCCGCAGAGTTTGATTTGGGCACACATCGCGCCGTTAGCGCACTTCATCTTCCTCGTCCCATGCTGGGAAAGGAGTGTTCGACTTCCACCTAGCAAGGGCGCCCGCGAGCGAAGCCCTTCTTCTCCTTCTGCATAGGAAGCATCTCCGGGCCGAACGTCCTTGGTTTATTGGGAAGCACATCCCAAACCCTCGGCGACTAAGTGCAACACACCGCGCCCGCCCCGGGCGACGGATTTCTTCGTCGAGGAGTTGCAGGCTGGTTGTTTTGCGTGTCATAGATAGCTCATATGTTCAAAGTTGTTCTAAAAGAATATTAAGGTGTCTCAGACACGCGAGCCTCGTATAAGGTGACTTTTATATGTGAATTGGGGGCATTCACAATTTAAATGGGGGAGAATGAAACTGGGTTACACGTGCGCTTGTAAGGAAGGGCGGGTCGCACAACCTTATGCGACCGTGTATCGGTGTGTATTACACAGTTAGTTCAATGACACAGTGGTGTGGTTACACCGTAACAAGAACCGCCACAAGCGACCCTGCCACGTGTATTGCATAATTCTATATTAGTTATGTTTTGCGATTTTGATGTGCTATTGCTTTATTACTTAGAAAATCTAAGGTTTTAGATATTGGCGCTCTGCCGCAACTCAAACTATTAAATATAGTTTCAATTTTGAACATAAGTGTTCGTTTGCCGCGGTAAGTTCTATAGTACTTGGAGGTTGCGGAGTCGATCCGCTACACTCGTACTGGTTCTGCGATCCGCTGCACTCGCAATGGTTCTTGTAAAAAACGTAAGGTCGATGACCTTAGCTTTGCTTCATCTAAGCAAAGAGTTACGGTAGTTTCGCTGCAATAACCTTACATACACCTGCTCAATGCGAACCCATTTGAAGGTTTGGGGCCGCTGTCAATTACTGGTATCGTGGCTCCTATATAGCTTTATATATTTTCTGGCATTCATACTGCCTCGTAATATCAAATATTCAAGATGTAATTCTCTGCGCTCGACTTCATCACGAATATGGTGATAGTTCATGTCGATATTCTTGACTCCGCCGTTATAAATAGAATCTCGAGGCAAGAATGGTTGTCCTCGAAATTCTTGAAGTCTGGTATGCACTTGCCTGCCGCATGTAGAAAATCTCTCAGAAAGCGATGAACCCCGTAACCTGCTTGACCGCCAAAGTAAACGCTGTGCAACCGGCTTCGCTTATTGGCAATGGCACATTGATTTTACTCCCCCAATTATCGGATCCTCCATCACTACGAAGTGTCGCCAAAGTTGACTTGCGATTGGTATGATCATCTGCCCATTCTACATTCGAGTATCCCTGATCGTTAACCTTATCATCAAGGTGAATACAACTTCCATGAGAATTTGTGCCCTGCCAATAGCGAAATAAGCGCTTGATTGCCCCGCAATACACAGCTTGCGGATTCTCCATATAATTTGACACATTGCCAAAAGGAAAATTGATTTTCGTCGCGTTGAATGCATCAGTGTTCCTACGGCCTCTCTAAATGACGCATCAAACTTGGTCGGACCGCCTCTTGACATGGGCCATGACGAAGCGATTCTTCAAGCTCGTCTCCGTACGCGCATCCAGCTTCGTTGAGCTTCCGGTGACTAGAATATTGTCAACATAAACTAGAAGTTGCACGCAGTGACCTTCCACAATATTAATTCAAGGCATAAATTGAAGTATGAAACTGGATCCAATCGTGTCGACAAATTAGTCGAAGGTCTCATTCGATACGTGCGAAGCTTGTTTGAATAAATTGCCTCGTCGAGTCCAAGACAGTAAGCATTTTATCAAGATGGACCCCTTCTGGAACCGCACATTATACAAATTCCTTCTCCACTCCAAATTCGAAAAGCCTTCAAACCAGCCAGCTGATTAAGTGTCCACCCGACGTACGGTAAGAGCAAAAAACATATGTAAGGTCACGCACTTGACCATAGACAAAAACGTTTTCGAGCAATCAAGTCCATATTTTGTCAACATTCTTTTGCGACGAGTCGTGCCTTGTGGTACTCATTTGAGCCGTCGCTCTTGCAATTCTTAAAAAAACTACCTGAAGCCCATATCATGTTGTTCTGACGGCAATTTCGTCGCAAAAATGAAACTATCAATGGCCGACACGGCCGACACTTCCTTCTCAGACGATAATCCATATTCCAGCAATACGGCATTACGATTCGATCGAAATCGTTGTCGTTATTGCATAGTAAAGGTATAACAACGAAACGAAAATATTGGTTTGTTGCTGGCTGCGTGTCCACGATTTTACACGGCACATCGAGCTCCTCGATTGTCATCTTTTTGCTTGGTCCAGCATCGTCCCATCGAAATTTCCATTTTACCACAATAAGTGCACTGGCGGGTTTCTTGCTCGGCACCAAGCGCTTAACCCGCATCTTTAGTCCTCACTGTCTTAGTCCTTTCAATTTGTCGCTTAATATGCTTTTTCGTTAGCTTTTTACCCGCGACTTTCGTCCAAGGCTCTGTTTTGCTCATCTCCAAGTCGATTATGACATTCTCGAAATTCTTTGAAAGACATCAAAGTAAAAATTGTGGCTTCCTTACCCTATAGTTAGCGCCGATGCTGCTCCGCTTAGCGCCGATGTTAAGTACCTCGTTGCAAAATTGCGAGACATTATCGCCTTGATCCACACCCAGTTGAATAACTGATGCTTTTAAATAAACACATGTGATACGCCGTTAAGTGACTTGATGCGAATCTAAGCAAAGGATTCTGTGCAGTCATCAGCGATCAGGGCAGGCGTAATAGTGCTGGCCCTGATTTACTCGCCGCTGGCGCACCAAATGACGGAGTCACATCTCGATTGATCACATGCCACACCGACTTGGTAAGGAACATGCTGCGTATGTAGTGGATCCACGTGACGTAATTTTGTGTAGACAAGCAGCTGTGATGGAGATTCTTGCGTAAAATACATGGTCTATTGGCTCATAACCTGTGAAGATCTGAGGCCGAGGTGTGAAGTAGCTGAAGAAGCGAGCTAACGAATCTTGGCTTAGATGCGAAAACACTAGAGGGAGAATAAGTAAATTTGCAATCAATTTATTAGGTTACACTTCAAATTTAACTACATTCTGCATGATGTAGCTACCTTTAATCGTGAAACGTAAAAACCATATCAAATCACAGTTTGGATTGGACCTGAAATCCATATCCCTGAATAAGGAAAATCGCGTCGCATTTTAGTAATCGCAGACTACTCGATAATTTTCAGAACGTCTGAGGTTGCGAGTACTTTTAAATCAAGTTTAGAAAATAGCAGTTCTCCCACATCTCTACTTCGACATGCCATTCCCTAGTACAAAAACGATGTCTTTTTATTCTGTATATAGTCCTTGTTATACCTATTGCGAAAATCTGACAGAAGCCTATGCAGTTTTGTCATATGCGCATCCCCTCAATAATATTTAATAGAGTTTAAGGTGCGTTTGGTGCTGTCTATTGCATTTGCATAACGCAGTTTAGATACTTTAACAAACTACTTTAATATATGAACGTCCACGGCACTAAGCTTCTTAATTTGAATTTGGCGGGGACATCTTGCCCATATTTGAGAATTTGACGATAAGAATTCACATTCTGATAACATACCACACAAGTTTTAATGTGCTAGAGAAGCGCCAAATCAAAAGCACAATAATGGAAGACGTGGCCTGGAAGTGTACGACTGCGTTCGTACTTGGCGCTGCGACGCACTATTTCGTCTCCTCTTACTTTCTAAGTAACCGAACGGTCACAGTTAAAGACTTGACCAATGCAAACAACGACAGCAGCAACGAGGACATCCAGTCTGGTGATTCTTCCAGTTCCTCTTGTGGCTCAACAGATGACTGGGAAGGTAAAGATTCAGCCAGTTGGGTGCCTCACAAAATGGTCATGTGTGTGCGTACGGATCTTAAAATGGGTAAAGGTTAGTACCAGTATAAGTAAATTCTTGTACCTCTACAATAAGTTAATGTTGATGCTGGTAATTAATATAAGGAAAAATTGCAGCACAGTGTTGCCACGCAACGTTAGGCGCCTACAAACTCGCACTCAAACGGACACCAGATGCCGTTCGAGGATGGGAGATGCTAGGTCAGGCCAAAGTATGTCTTAAGGTGGAATCCGAGGAGGAATTGCTCGCTCTAGCCGATAAAGCATCTGAGTGTGGCCTTGTTAGCTATGTTGTGGTACGTCAGTAAAGTAACGATAAGTGTTGAGCTGCTGAGAGTCAACGCGATGTATCATTTATAAAGGTTGACGCCGGCCGAACTCAAATTGCGCCGGACAGCAAGACGGTTCTAAGCATTGGACCAGCCCCGCTAAAGGTAATCGATGAGGTAACGGGCCATCTCAAGTTGATGTAATGAATTTAACATGTGGACTATAATCAAGCTTAAGAAAAAATTGCATGAAGTAAACATACTATGTTAGTGGTGCAAGCTTTGTCTCTCCAGCATTGATGACATTTTGAACAAATTTGAGCTACTTTAAGAATCCACGGTCTCGTACAGCGAACGGTTTTTGAGGATACCAGCTCGTTGAAGCATGAACCCGACAAACACAACATAACTGATCGCAGCAACAATTACGACCACTGTCTCTCCAATCGTTCCCACCACGTCCTTGAACGACAAGGCATAATCTACAGTGCTAGGGGTATCGTTACGTGAGACGGACATGTAGTCGTGAGGAAGCTTCGATTGAAACGAATCAATGCAAGCTAGATATTCGCCTTTTGTAGTCCACCACTTCAGTGTACAAAACGCCTTGACGTGGCACAGTGAGTCCTTGCAAGGTGGAGCGTTCGGCGAACGGGCCCACGTGTTCCAATGGTAATTCTCAATCAAGCTTACGTTCTGCTCAGCACGGCGCACAAAGGCTGAGAGCTCGGAAAGAGATAGCGATCTGAGACCGTAGGCCTCACTTGCCTTGAACGAAAGTTTCCAGTCGAGTTGAGTCTCACTCTCCGTGATGTTGGAAGAATACACAGAATAGTCAAGCACGTCATATGTGTCAGGATCGTAGTTCCAAACTATAAAAGACGGATTGTTACCGAAAATCGGCGAGATTGCACCCGAAATGTACATCGGCATTAGCTGAAAAGTACTGTCCGCTTCTGTAGGTATCTCAAGTGATGGCACAGGTACTCGGAACTCAATCATGTGAACGTGGCCGAAGAACTGTCCTTTCACTACATGAGCATACTTGCCAACAATGTTTTTGTACTTCACAATATACTTGGGATGCCATTGAGGATCGCCTCCGTATGAGTCTACGATTGGCGCAATATGACCAGCAATGTACGCAAATTTACCAGAACTTTGAAGCTTTGCAAGTGTTTTGTCTAGCCAGGCAAATTGTCCGAACGGATCTGGCTGCTCCGACGAATCTGGCAGATGACTTGGCTATCAAAAAAACATCAGCACTACGTTTTACCTACGTTTGATGATCTTACATACTGAATAGGGCACCGTGTTGAGAGTAATCACCTCAAGTTTATCGTCCAGAGCGTAGGTCAAATATCCACGACGATTGAACAAGTCCATGTTGGCCGCTGACAAGGAGTCCTTCCAAGCATTCGAAATGAGCTCAATAGACGGGTTTGTTTCCATCTCAGGATTCGTCAACTCCATATGGTAGTCGGGATCTGCCATCATTAAATGTATAAGCTTCTTATTATAGTCAAAAATCATCATTTTCTTCAATCCTACTCGCGTCTGCGTTGCCAATGATGGCCGTGACATCCTGCAGTCCATTCCAACTTTTTTGCTTGTAATATTTTTCCATTACATGTACATTTGTCTTGACAGCTTCAGAAATGTATGCATCCGTAAAAAGCCCGTGAACCGCGTGATCTCCAGTATAAAGAAAAAGGTCTGGGTCCGCCACGACGTGCTGCTTCGCGTACTGTAATGCCGACTCGAAGAGTGGCAAGGACGCGTCCTGGAAGTAGCGGATGGAAAAGGGAAGATTTTCTGTCGTCAATCCATCGGATATATTCAAGTGCACATCCGAAAAGTGCAGGATGCGACCCACAGACACAGAAGATGATGGCGCCACCAACACCGTTAAAATGATTAGCCTCAACATTTAAAATCGGGGTTTGATACGGTGCTCAGTAAACTTAAGTCTGGCGAGGTAAAATAAAATGTTTATTGCGCTCGCTAAATCTCTGCCTGAGCCTCAGACTAAAGCTCGTATATTAAAACATCAGCTAACATTTTTCTTTCGTGTAATGAACAGAACTATTACAAGAGTACATATTCTACTTTTTGTTGGTTCGTGTATTGGTAAACAAATCAGATTGGGACACAACATTGTGGTTTAGCAGAATCATAACAACTTCTTTTCTGTGACGGGAAGCTCAAGACAATCTAGTAGTACTATATCAAATCCATAGGAAGAGATCTTGAATTGCTTCTCAAATAAGCAGATTTGTTATTCCAGATTATGATTTTTGGCTTGTCAGCTTGAATTATACATGTCACTTCATAATGTAAGCAGTCTCAAGTACGTGAGAGGATTTTTTCGCGTCCAAGAAAAGGTCTCTGAGTAAGCCTCCTGTGTGATTATTGATGTGTGCTCCACGAGCGAGTCAAAAGCTCTTTCTGTACAGTAACCCTGTTGTACCTGGAAGCACTTTGTTCAGTTACTTAACTGTTCCCCTATCATTCATGAAACACACTCGGTCACCTCATATCTTTGATTGGTCCCGACGGATGAAAATCCGAGGTCCTTAATTGGTACCGCTCCCTGAACAATGTCACTAGCGACGAGAATGCGCTGGTAAGTGACCTCTATGACGTCTCGATCAGATGTCGGAGTCAGTTCTAGAGACGGATGTCACTAGCGGGGTCACATCAATTAAGCATTTGATCCTTTGAGATCAAGTCTGAAATTACACTTATCGGGAAACGGGAAGTTGTAGTGACGCTGATTCTGGTCTGCTTCACGCATAAAATCATACCCTTTCATCTAGAATAAGAGGTACAAAGCGTTGAATACTCACGCAGAGCCGATTATCAGTCTCATGCCTGTCTGGCGGAGTTGACACTCCCCCCAAGGTCAGGCAGGGCCAGTAGGGCGGCCCAATAGTAGATCGGGGCACCCTACTCGGGGAGAACTGAGTGCTGTTAAGCCTCAAAGCGGTAGTGGGCAGCAGGGCGCAGCCCCGAAGAGCTCCGTTCCCTCGAACACGGAACGTATATGCAAGCCAGGCTTGCTGGTCGTGGAAGCAACCGTGAAGGAGTTTAAGAAGCTGGACGATCCTGATTGATTCCGGAACAATTTTTATGCTCGACGCTCTACGATCAAAGGAAGTCAGCTGTATGCCAAGGCGCCGGAAGCGCGGTTGAGTGAAACCGTCACTGTTCGGTTAGCGACGGGGACTTGTGTCACTGTGGCGACGGTCCCTCTGGACCTCGGTACCAAGTTTTTTCACTTTGATAGCGTGGAACGCAGCTTAATCTTAGACTCGGATGCAACGTATGACCTTATATTTGGTGTGGCATGGTTGGAACATTATTAGCCATGGACTGACTGGAGGTCGAATACCTTGGGCGCTTCGCGCACGTCACCTAGTGGAGCTTTGGTGGGCCATGAACCAACCCCTGCAAGCCACCTCTTCTAGGAAGCAGAAGCGCTATTGGCGCGGACACTGGATCTGGACGGTCAATGTGCTGGATATCGGAGTATTCAAGTTGTCGAACATCGAAGGTATATCGGGCAGCAGTAACTACATAGCAGTTACTGCATGCCAAGAGTGGCATGCACCTCATTAGGAGGTGAAATCAAACGTGAAATAAGTCGCTTGAAAACTTCGCATTCAAAAAAATATCTTGAAAGAGGGACCGCACGTAAATGCTCTTTCGCGCACCAAACCTGATTGTAGGGACAGTCAGTGCGATGTGCTGTTGTCCCATATGATCCGTTGCAGATCATTTGGCCATCTTAATCTCGCTTGTCTAGACAAAGAGATATCTTTGCGTCTTTTCGCAAGAAAATTTGTTTCTTTCAATGTAATAGAAAAGTCTAAATAAATCTTATGCGATAAGCAGACTCAATCTTTTGTACCATCCGTCAATAATCTTGCGGCTATTGATTGGTTGATATGCTTTTAATCTGTTCCTGTGATAATTCATGGCTATGCGGGTGCAGGAATGCAGCATGTGTGAACGCAGATTTTTTGATTCAATTACAAGCGGCATGTCATTGTGCACACATATTTACACTGGTGTTGTCTTGGCTAATACCAAATGCGTAATGCCTCAATCTACACTGCCATGGATTTTCCTTTACTCGCATTTGAAACATTTTGATAAGCTCTGATCTGAACCAACGGGCTCATTTGAAAGCTTTGATGTATGAGTTAGGGTCATCAGTATTATGATAATCAATTTTTATCGCAGGCTAAGTTTTGACATGATGCGGGTGTGTATTATAAGAAACTTCAGCGCTGCATCCAATCTCTGTTATGTGATGTTTGAGTAGGCTACTTCTTCAGTAGTTGTAATCCTACAAATTTGAACATTGCAATTAATGTCTTTCGCAAAATGTACCAATCGATTACACTCTAGTTTGTAGTATTGTACAAAGTAAGAACCCCGTCAACATCTCTCAGAGCTAAACATCAATTTTGCCTGGCCTTCGTGCAAATGTTCCAACTATGTCAAAGCCATGGGACAGCTGTTGTATCATCTAGTAAAAGGTTTGACACCAGCACGCGGGCTCACCGGAGGCGTGACTTCATCAATTTTTCCACTTTGACCCTTGTTTGCTAATTGATAATATCATAGCGTAAGCTGATTCTGTTGCTCTTCATCCTGGCCGCTTATGATTTTCAGGCTTCATAGCTAACGCTTTGTTCAGCTACAAACAATAAATCCTGAGAATACTAAAAGTGAACATTCAATCGCTAGCCACATTCAAGTCACCTGGCTCATATTTTACGCATTCCGTCGGTGGCAAATTGTCTTCACTTTGAAACTCGCTACGAAAGCAGCATTTGCAAAATTTTTTGACTAAATGCGTGATGTTAAGAAGTAGTGTGTCAATTTCCGGGTATAATTTTCAGTGTCATGCAGCCAAAAATACCACAATAGGGTGTAGACATGCACGTCAAGATGATACTTAATATTATGGCTTAGAAAATTTAAACAAGGATTGTTTTTACTTCGCAACTCAGCTTTGCAGTTGCCTTAAGCCAAAAATACAAAATGTGTAAGCAAGCAAAGCAATCCACTTTCACTTCACTCTATTTAATCCCTTCACCTTTCATTCTGCAATAGCCCCAGCTTCTCATGTCTCCGAGCCATGTCTTCGAGAAACTCGAAAAAAATCTCTCAAAGACAGATTCTCGTGAACAAAGTGATTGTCGAACGATCTGTAAAGATGGACACTTCGACTGCAGTATGTTTGGAATACCAAGTTTACGTGTTATTTCATGACATATCAAAGTTGATAAAGACGATCAATTGTTCCCGTGTATAATTTCATCTAATGTCAGCATCATCACTATCACAAAAAAAAAATTGCTTGCCCAATCTGACCCATCGATATACCATTCATTTTTACCATCAGTTTGCCTTGATCAACTTATTCAGCATGTAGTCCAAACAAAACAACTAGTAGTAAGCCCTACTCCTGTATACTCAAACACATTGGAAATGATAGTAATTTGCCAATTATCTGTTTTTAATGCAATTTGCGTCTGAGCTACGTTCATCATTCCATGGCGTCGTGATTTGACAAGTCTTTTCGTGCTGTAGACGAAGCCAAGCATTGATTTTAAAATATGGGCTTTACTGAGCTTCTCCGTCGTGTCTTGACATAATCAACCCTGCAGACCTCAACACATAGTCGCTATTGTTCATCTTACCGTATTACGTCTCTGAGTCTCCAACTCACAGCAACTAATTGTCTGCACAGAGACCTGATAATTCGGTGGCACCGCTTACCCCTCCCGAGATTAGATCAAGGCCCATAGCAATGTCGCTGACTATTGATCCGGACAACCCATAATTGGCATCAAAGCTGCCGCAGCTTCATGTCCAAACCAAACGTACTTCTGGTGTTTTGAAGAAATGATTATATGGCTCAATTAATTGGAAGAAGTATGGATGTTTCCAAATAATACCCGATATAATGCTTTAAGCTTTTTAGCCAGAATAAGATTGTATAATAAGGCCTGGGGCCAAACACACTCAAGCATTCAATTTTCTCCAACTTTATCGAACGATCCAAAAAACTTCGTCTCTTCCCTCTCGCAAGACACTCAGATATGATATCCGAATAGCAAATCATCGACGCCTTTGATCTGCCTACAGTTGCGTGTAACACATAAATCAACTCGCTTGTGAGATTCAAGACCTTCCCGCATCTTTATAAAGCTGATGTTGACAGCCAATTGCCTCGCACTGTAAGCCCTATCGCCTTCGAAAGGCGCAAGCTTCTAAAGATGTTTTTCTCAATATCGTCTACCCCCACGGAGATTTACCATCCCAACTGTATCATAGTAAGCAACCCTGCGCTCGGATCCTTCTCTCAAATGTTTGTCAGCCATCCTGTGCGGATATTTAAATTTCTGTACCTTGCAAACAATCTAGAAGGGGTCACGCAGGGCAAATATGTCTTGCATTTACCCAGATGGAACATCTGCAAATATCAAAATGATAATCGGCAGCTTATGATCCCGATCTCAGCTCGGCTGAGGTCTATTGGCTCTAGTGAGCTTGCAAAGCCTCTACCTTTCGCGCTCTAACCTTATGTTGAAACATAGAGCATATACCCTTCAGTCAATGCAGCACACACCATATTTTATACGATGATAGAGTAGATGAGTCGCATCCATTCAAAAGATCTCCATAATAATGTCAACCATTGCCGCCTTTATAAGCGGAGCCAACGCCATCGTATTGGCTAAACTTTTTGACGTTGAGCATAGTCGTCTAATTTTTACCGCTCTTGATAGACGAACATAAATTTTGATGACACGCAGTACTTGCCAGACAGTGCAAACACCCACGACATATGCCTCATATTTACTTCTTGTTCTAAAATCGACGGCCGAGACTAAATTTGAATGTTTCACTATCCTATGTTATCCTATCATTCCTTGGATCTAATTGATCCTGATCGCTCGCCTAGTGTCGTACTTCTACTGCAAAAGTCGCGAATGGTCACCTTAAGGATAGTGTCCGATGCTATACAACCTACCTTCTCAATAACGCCGCTTAGCGTCTTGCTCTTTAAGAGCAGATATAGAAAAAACTTGTTTGCACCACTATAAATCACACTAGCGGTCCTAACGGTTTGAGACCACGCGTGAAGTGGTATGCATTCGCGGTACTTCTGTAAAATAGACAATTTAAAAATGCGTCCTATCAGATGCAACTTGAGGTGCACGGCGATATCTTACACAGAGACAACTTTGAGCTTACAGATCCGCTTTTACTAACGCACATAGTATTTATTCGAATGGTTCCGTCAGAGGCGGAAGAGAAAACATTTCAAGGAACTAGTAACTCACTTGCTATCACCTATCTAGTGTGACATAAATTTAGTATAATGTCCAGCTTACATTTTTCTTACTGTATCTATTTGACTTTCTTCCTTAATGAAGCCCTAGTTACGGATTGCATGAGAGATGTGTTTCACGGATCTATTCTTTACGGGTCTTATCACAATCACCCGTAAAAAATGCTTAATTTCATCATTTCAGCATGATATTTGACATACAATCTTCTGAGGGTGAATACAAGTCCGAGGAACAATGTGTGATGTGAACGTGCACCATTATATGATACATACCGTGTTGCAAAGTGTGTTTGGACTAATCTTCAGCGGATTAATAATAATCCACCTAGCTGTGTCTAGGTAGATGCTCCCTCACGCATATACCACTAACAAAGCACACCCTCCGGATAATCATTCAGTTCATTCTCTGCTCGCAATCCCAGGAGCGCAATTGCTCTATACGTACATGCTAATTACCATACAGCTCCAGCAGTATATCACAAAGTCGCGTCCGGCATTTAAATGTTTCTAGCGACGTCGAATCAAACGTGAATGCCTTATTTCGTATTATATCTCTTAAAAGTGCTTTCATCGGTCGCTAAAATATGCATTTCTTACGTGTACAAATTCGACTCAAGTATTCAAATGAGACGAACAGCCACCTATCTTCTACTTTATGTTACCCTCTAGACTAAGTTATATCCGGCAAGTAGACCCTTAGAGTGCTTACTGAGATCACAAAGTTTCCTTTCAGAACATTCATGGTTATCTGGACGGTTAGACACCTTCTTCTTTTGTTATTAGCATATTGACAATATACTCAGAGTTGCGCTTTTTATCTCTTCACCATAATGTAATTGATGAGGATCGCCTACTACTCGCGTAAGCATGTAAATGATCATAATCAAGCATTAATCACAACTTTTTAGTGCATCATGTACGTCAAACACAAATGAATGGCACTTGCAGAAATTAATTCTGCAGAAATTCCTTGCGGGTCACACTCGGTAAAGTTACATACCTTCTCTATGTAACCATACCTCCCACTGTCAAAACTGAAGGACAAAGAAGCTGTGAAACAAATTTCTCTGTTACTTTTACTCTAAAGTGATGCAACAACATCGCAAAGAGAAACATACGTTGAACTTGAGCTTATTGTCTAGGCGCTGGACGCTCAAGTCCTCAGGCAAATCGCACACAACAATTGTAATCTTGCGACGCAACCGCGGAAAACAGACGAATTCGATTGTCAAGAAGTGCATGCGACTATGCAATATCTTGCTTCCTATTAGTTCCGACTCGCGTTCCATTTTCTGTTGGTGTGTTTGCAGCTTTGGCGACATCCAGCCCAGGCAGTCCACGTGCGTTTGCGGTGGGTGCGGTGTCATCTAGACTAAAATGTACTTGATTTCTGACTGCGTGCCCGCAGCTCTGTCTATAGGCGGCTTTAGCTTGTGCTTCAGCTACTTTTTGCGCAATCAACATGACTCGACAAATTTATGGTAAAAAAGTTGCTCGTACGCGATGAATGGAATGTTTTTGATGACTTTGTCGGGTGTGTGTGTGGCGAATGGTTCGCGTAAAAACAAATTACATCTTATGCCCGACTGTGACCAGCGCTGTTCAGCGAAAGACAGCCTAGATCAGCTTTCGACGCGATCCACGTGATTATCTCCCGCTTATGACGACGACTATTGAAGAAATCACATATGCAGCGTTGTTCAGGTGAGATAAATGGTAATGACTCACCCGGCCGTCGTTGACCCTACAAATGTTTTCCAGATACCGCATAGATACGTGACAGCGTTTTCTGGCACCGCATTCGACTATCAGGTAGTAATGGTTTTGGCTGATGAACGATGTGACTTCTCAGCCGCTCATCTAATTAGAATTCAGCAGCTCGAGCACCTACAACATATTACGATTGCGCTCCAGTAGCCCACTAATTGCCGGAATTCAGGCTGAACTCAGCGGACTGATTTGTCATAAGTCGCATTCGAAAGAAGTATGCAGAGCATAAGCTTTAGGAAAAGTCAAGATATATGCTTAAAGGCTGATATTGAGGGATCGGATGGTGTTTAGAATGGTGTAATGGGGGTTAGTACGGTAATATTATATTTTAAAAATAAAGTAGAAAATATCTGTTCGTCAACAGTCTGATTCGTATAGCTCAGATCCCTTCTAGACGTATGACGCATTATCATTCGTGGGCGACAATACACCTTGATATTGTTTCACTTTTGATTCATGGTCACATTCCGTGGTTTTTGCAATTGCCAGCCTAAGAGGGCTGACAATTGAAAGTACTTATTCTATTTCGCAATAGATTAAGCAATTTTCCAATTTGCAGAATATTGAGAAATCTCATTAATGTTAATAATATTCTGTTGTTGTGTCAAATACCTTTGTGGATTGAATATTACGCAGGTGCGCTTCAATAGATGTGAGGTTGAAGGTGGCTTGCCATCATGCAGGTCTGGAACCGCGCGCAGCATACGGTTTTTGATCGCCTCTTTATGACGTAGAGATAAAAAACGAACGAACAATGTTGCTTAACTACGCGAAGTTGAGCAAACCTGGACAAGGAGACAAAGTAAATGAGAATTTTGAATGGGAAACTTCCTTCTGTTGCTTACTATACCCCTAGAGACGGTGGGATAATGGCTTCATATGTAAGGAGGTAGCAGAAGAAAATGTGCCTCATTTCTACTGTCGAAAAACCTAGTCCTCTGATGCCAGATCTAGTGACCAATACCAGAGTTCACGGCCTCTTTGTGCACAGTGATATCCTCAGCGTCTGTCATATGCGTCGCAAAGCAGTACGCTTGTGATGCCCTTCAAAGTACCTACAACGTAGACGCCTGTAACGAAAACACTGTCATCGCCTAGAAGTACACGACTGGCACTTGCAACTTCCCGGCACTGTTTCAGCGAAGTCTTTTTTGTAAATCGTCACGCCGCACTTGATCACACTTTGGTACAGTCGCGCACTGCCTTGCCAATTTTGTGAAAGCCTTGACAAAGTTGACCTTGGCGCTGATCGCGCTATGCGGTACTTCACCAAGACTTCCGACAGCCAGCAGCTGTGCACGATTTTTTTGATATCCGAGTAGCTCAAGAGCCATCAAGTTGGTATGGGGTAGATAGGCAAAATATTCGTGACAGGAGGTGTTACAAATGAATACTACTTCATTTCGGAGGATAACTCAAAGGCTAGCTAGCGATTGGAGTATCGCTTGGGATTAGAATTGCCTGAATTCTCAAAGATTTGAGTAGCCGGCCTTGGTCAGTAGTAGCTGGACCGGCAAATTTGCCGGTTTTTGGTTATGATAAAGTCTACTTCTACACCGCAGGGCACGCTTAGCTGGCCGCATCACCTCAATTTGACGGGTCAAACACTTCAAGAGTGTATATCTGCACATCGTTCTCATTGTTTCTGGGTTGTCGGTCGGAGACTAGATACTGATTAAGTAGTGATTTGAGAAGATGACGTCACAGTTGATGAGCCGTGGAGCCGCCGGTTCTGTTGCCACTGCTGATTACGTCGTTACTTTAGTTCGCCGAAAGCAGATCCGACTACATTAAGACCTCGCGTCAACTTCAACGTTTGTGCTAGTTGGAGTCGAGGGCGTCGCTCTGTGTCTATGACGGGGTCTCCGTAAATATTCCACTGAGGAATCTTTGGCTTTAAGTGACCGCGTTAAAAACGCACGGAGGTTGGGTTCGTTTTCTCCATAACCGTGAATCTGACCTGGAGCTAAGTATCTAGTTAGCTTTACCATTTTATAAGAAGACATAATTTAAAATAAGTGTTTTTTTTACGAAGCCTAAATATATACGTTCTGCTCAAGAAAATGCATTTACTCTGACGTGCAACCACGGACCCCTCCTTTTTCGAAAGAAACATTTTCATAATTCACTCAATCTAACTTTAAAATACAATGCAAATTTCGTATAACTGTAACTTATTGTATTCAATACAATTGTACCAATAGTGTAAGGTGTGACTACACAGCGATACATCGATTTTGAAAGAAGTAGTCATCTATGAGACAACAAGTCTATGGAAGATTCGAGTGACGTCCCATGTATCAAACACATAATTTAAACATGGCAACATTGTGGACTACGGACACTTCTGCAAGCTTTGGCTTCTGTATGTCAACCTGAATCAGCATCAGATGGAAGAAAGGCTCAGCTGTCTTTTCTATTCTCTGACATGGATTAGCTGAGACAATCATTGTTAAACATAATATGCGGCACCGCACACATTAATACTATTCACCACGCTTCGAACTTGTTGATTGGCTATTTTAAAATAGTGCAAGTACGTCCTACACGTTATTCATTCGACGTCTAAAGAGCAGTCAGTCACTTTGGGGCTTGACGTGCCATTGCAACACAATATTATTGCTGGTACGTCTAAATATCTTCATTTACCTCGCAATGGCTTTATACGTAGCTTACAATTAAATTACTGATTACTATAGGATGTTGACGTGTGTCGTATGTGCTTAATAGACGTAAAACGTACGATGCCTGCGTCCAAGAAACGAATACAGAACCGTGGCGCGCTCAATGTTGGGACTCAACAAGTGCCTGCGGTATTAAAAGACTGGGTACATATTTGGCACGGGGTGAAAGTCAACAACGGGCCTGAGAATACGTCAATTTTTCACGCTGGCTCACGCATTGAGGAGATGCCATTTTGGAAACAATTCATCCGCTTGCCTGCTAATTCACTCTTTCCACGAGTCCTTACAGCTTCGAATCCGAGAAAAACCTACAAGGATTTTCTATATGTTTTGTTGAATATGCGATGGCCCATGCTGCTGACCGTATTGCTTGGAGTTTTTATGGTCAATATCTTCTTGTTTGCGGCCATCACGTGTTATATCTGTAATGAGCCAAGTGAGTTCTTTGAGGCGTTTGACTTGAGCTATCAGACGTTTACCACGATTGGATTTGGGGTTGTTTATCCTACACACACATGTGGGAACGTCGCTATGTCTGTAGAATCTTTTGCATCGATGATGATCGTATCCGCCGTTACTGGTCTCGTGTTTGCCAAGTTTGCAAGACCACAGGCCAAAGTGGCATTTAGCAAAGTGTGCGTAGTACAACCGTATGGGAAGAAATACCTTGCACTGGTCGTGCGCGTGGCCAATGCAACTCAGTCGCGTGATGTGACACACGATGTAATCATGGAAGCGGTGTTTAAAGTGAATTTGTTGCGAGTGGAACACAAGACAAAGCAGCTTCGAGCTCATGATGAGATCATTTCGGAAAAGCGACGACGTTCTCGTATTGCTGCAAACTGCGATGTTTTGGATGACGAGGATGTTTTAGAGAATTCCTCGTGCTCTCAATCAAAAGTATTGACGTCGTACAACTTAAAATTGTTGCAGAACAATTTTGTGACATTTCGCATGGGCGTTGCAGTGGTGCACGTGATTGACGAGAACAGTCCGCTTTACGGAATGTCTCAAAACGACATTGCTTTATCGGATATGCTGGTGGAGGTGGCGATGTCAGGTGTTGATTCGACTCTACAAGATACGGTCTCTGAGAGGTATATCTACACGGCTGCAAATGTGATGTGGGGATACCGATTTGCTGAGTTGCTGGATTTTGATGAAAGTAATGCAGAAGTAGTCATGAACTTTGCCAAGCTTAGCACGGTAGAGACTGCCCCGATTAATGATGCCCAATATCTTAAGTCGAGTGTCGGTACCATGGATGACAGCAATACAGATGATGAGAGGACTAATTCGAGCACTTCTCTAGTAACACAGGATTTTAGCCAGCACGGACGTAATCAACTACTAGCTAATAACGAGAAGACTTCGATAACAAGCACAAATTCAGAGTCTTTTCAAGATCTGCTGTCACTATCAGACAATGCCCAGTCGTCTGACCAGCAACGCTCTTATCTATCAAATTTTAAGAGAAAAAGTGGTCCAAGAAAATTTGGGATGGGACTCGAGCCGTTGTTTGAGCCACTTCTTCACCAATCTTTTGGAACGCAGCGACTAGCGAAAGCCCCAACTGGTGAAGTCCGAACTGCTCGAAAAGGCGGATTGCGGGTATGGAAGGCGCACGATCAGACAGACGTGGAGGGAAGAAGTCAAAGGCATAGTGTGCTGCAGCCGCCAACGCATGCAAACCATGTTCTTCAACGTCGCAGTAGCTGTAAAGCTGCGCTGAACGGTGTAGGTGACTTGACAGCGTTTGAAGGATTAGATGGCCACCGAGCTCAGCATGTACTTCAAAAAGAGATGGTGGGGTCGGCTCTAATCGATGGAGATACCAGTACAACCTCACAAGAAGATTCTCAGGATGTGCTTGAGGGTTTAAATGATATTGACACTCACGAAAATAAAAGCGAAGATGACGAAGAAAAGAGTGATTCGGATAAAATGAGTCAGCGTTTGTTTCGCGCCCAGTCGTCAGCATCTGCTGTATCGATTGAAGTGGAGGACACGCCACGATTTTTACGTATCGTGCCCGTCAACATTCCAAAATCTTTTAGCTTTTTACGTTTTTATCAAAGTGCCCTCCATGTGGGCTGGCCAAAAATTACCGTCGTGTTTGTGCTGTCATTTCTGGTCCTCAATTTTACCTTTGGATTTCTGTATTGGTTAAACCTTGACCATATTTCTGTGAACGACGACATTGTGGTGTCTGACTATGAGCTGGCTTTTTATATGAGCGTACACACACTTGCAACAATTGGGTATGGATCCATTGCACCAATGCGTGACGCCGTGTACATGAATGTAATCGTTTTTATCGAGTCAATGGTCGGCATTATTGCTGTGACGATTATCACGGGCATAGCATGGTCTAAATTCGCTCGACCACGAGCTCATATCCATTTCTCGTCCAAATTGATCATTTCTACCATTTATGGTCATCGATGCCTCGTATTTCGAGCGGCCAATACAAGGCACTCGGGCGAAGTACATGAAAACTTTTTTCGCATTGGCGTGATTCTTACAAATCGACGCACAGGTCTTCGACAAATGTACGACGTACCACTTGTGACTGCTGAGTGGCCATCCATCAAGTTACCGGCGACACTAATTCATGTGATTAATGAGAATTCACCATTTTACAAGTTTCACTCGCTAAATGATCTCTCACAATCGCGCGTCGCAGTCGTTGCTCTGTTGACGGGTTTGGATACAACCTTTTCAGAAAATGTCTATGCACGTAAAACGTATTTTTGGGATGATTTCGCCTACGACATGCGCTTTGCAGACTTTGCTATTGTCGAGCGTGATCGTGTGTTTGTAGACTATAAGCGCTTCGACCGTCTAATTTCAGACGACCAAGACGAACACTTCGCGACCTCACCGGTACTTGGTAACGAGTCTCTTGTTGCTGATTTGGTCTGAGTCGTGTGTATTTTATATATATGGGCTAGTATAAATAATCTGAAAGCAGAAATGTGTGTACAAAATTACGACTTTGAATTAATTAAGGCTTACAGATGTGGTGAAGAAATATTTTAATGTATGGACTGCGCAATTACATTAATGTGTTCGAAAAGTACCGCACAAAACACCCACATCAGCATTGTTTACGCAGACTCTTGAATCTTGAGAACAGGGCAATCCTCTTGCATTTGGTAGTACTTGTGGTAATACCTTTAGTCTTCTCTTAAACATCAAGCGTGTGCAGTTTGTTTGCGTAGGAGTACGCCGACCACGCATACATCTTCATTATTCTGTTTGCCAAAAAGCTAGTGGATTGGTGAATCATAAATGATAGGACTAACAAAACGCCGAAATATCATTTGAGCTCGTCGTATGCGTATTCTTACACACCCTTTAACTTGGTTGCATTTTGGTTGGTTTAGCACAGTGTCGAAGCATGTTATCAGTGCATGCACCAGGACATTACTGCGGCATCATTGAGCCACTCCGATAGCATCTTGCATCCTATCCTACTATTTTGTGCATTGCACCCGGACAATGTTCAGCAAAACATTTTTTCAAACGCTCCCTTTTATATGGATAGCTCATCTTATGTCACCCTTTCCGTGGTCGTGTGACAAAAGCGATTCTTACACCATGCCATTCCACCACACTGGCGATTTGGCTGCCAGGAAACTGCCAACCACCTCGTGTCAAAATACTTTGTCAATCAATCGGATGTCACAATATTTTTATAAGGTAAGCGTCGAAAGGAGAAGACTTTCGTCATCAAGTTTGTATAATTCACTAGCAAGGAGAGGAGTCTCCGAGCCCTTACGCATCACGGCAACTTGAAAATAACTGTGCTTCTTCCGAAGGATATGATTTAGCTCTGCGCTGAGATCTCTGACCTTTGAAATGACACATCACCAGACCTAATTCAGCCTAGAGCTTACGCACTGTGACATTTGATCTTTATCCTCTGGTTATCTGAGTTGACACCATCACAAAACCGCCAAACGATTGACGAAATGCGAGAACGCTTTTTGAGTTGATT